AACGAGTCCTATTCAGATGTGCTGACGGCTTCTTTGGGAATCCAATGCTGCCTAACGGCACTTGCAAGGAATGTGAATGTAATGGCAATATTGACTTGATGGCCATTGGTAACTGCGACACAGAAACCGGAGTATGTCTGAAGTGCATCGGGGACACCACTGGAGAACATTGCGAGGTGGGTGATCATGAGATGGTACAAGGAACTTCGGGTATCCGACAGGAGGCCCGTCGCGTGGCGAGGAGGCAGAGACGCAGACAAGTCAGCGGACGAGTCGCAGCGCGTGCTGTGTGATGTGGGACGTACTAGTAGTACATTCTTGGCTTGACGAAATCACTGCAGTGCGCGCTGTGACTCGTCCGCTGACCCGTCTGCGTCTCTGCCTTTCGCCGCGCGACGGCCTCCTGTCGGGTGCTCATGGACAGGAACTTCTGATGGCCTGTCAAAAGCCATCATTGCCCAATCGAACTCTCATGTCATTGATACCGAATTACTGTAATGATTAAATTTTCAGCTCTGCAAAGAAAACCACTGGGGTTCGGCGTTGGAGAAAACCTGTAAACCGTGCGGATGCCATCACGTGGGTGCTGAGTCGCCGCAGTGTGGTAATGAGTACGGTGAATGCAAGTGTAAGCCCAACTACATCGGAAAGCAGTGCGACAGATGCATCGTAAGTCTTACAGGGCGCTCTTCTGTGAAGACAAAAGCCTGAGGCTGGTGTCAGAGTCGGCGATTCGTCGCGTTTACCGCGCGAATCGCCTGATGGATCGCCGACTCTATCACCAGCCTTACTGATTCTTACAGGATGGCCATGGTGACATCGAAAACGGTTGCCCAGCTTGCGAATGCAACATGATCGGAAGCATCGGTGATCAGTGTGATGCCGTCAGTGGTCAGTGCACGTGCAAACAAGGCGTTTTTGGCAAGGTATTGATTTATTGATCTGCTGGGTAATCCGATCAGACCACTCACTTTGTTCTCGACTTCAGAGATGCGACCAGTGTCGTCCGTCGTACTTCAACTTCACGGATGCGGGATGCCAGTTCTGTCACTGCAATATATACGGATCGATCGAAGATGGAAAGGTGGCTATATTTCAGTGATTAGTCCATTTACTGACTGACGTTCTCACGTTGTCTGAAAAGAAAATCTTATTATACATTGTGTGGTAGCAAAGAAATAGGTGATGGTTTCAGCTCAAAAGTACTCGGGTGAGAGCTGGTCTTCTGTTGGGGAAGGAAAAATAAGAAGAAACCACTGAACTGCTCTAAGTGGGGGTCTTCCTCTTACTCCCTGCTTGAAGAGTTTGAGAGACAAATCAGTAAGGCCGATGTAAGACTCTGCGAATCGAGGGGTTCGCTACCGTCCATGGTGACCAGCTAGTCGAGCGATTCGATGGCCGCGACGCGACTCCGGCTGCTGGCAAATCGCTCGGTTCGCAAAGTATGACACTGTCCCAAAGGATGTGGAGCAGCGAGGTGATAGAAAGACGTACGGTGGCGAGAGAGCGTAGCGAGGAATGGGTCAGCACATGCCACAGCGGCGGTTGGGCACCGATCCATGGGGTTTGCCTTGATCCAAATCTCTAACCCTTGCACCGCTTATCAAGCGTTCTGAGTCGCAAAAATGGCCTGTCTCAAATTTTGCGGAACCTAGCAAGCTTATTTGTATAAGTGATTGGTTCAGCAATTCAATCGCGGAATGTGCCTTTAAGTTTGAATACGCATAGAGAAGGGGTGAAGATAGTAATTGGAGAAGTTACCAACTTTTTATTTAGTGTAACAACATCACTGGCAAATGCGAGTGTCGCAGTAATGTCGATGGTACGATGTGCGAGAAGTGTGCAGATGGATTTTTCAACATCACCAGTGGCGTGGGATGTCAGGTAATTAGTTTGTTTATTTTCGAGAGGTTATTCCTGTGGAGAAATCGCGTACTTTCTTGCTCGCTTTACGAATGACGTTTTCCTGGGAACAGATGCTCTTCAAAGAGACGCGCGAAAACATCAAAATTCTTTGGGTGGATCAGCTCTTTTTTGACTTGTACGCCTCTTTGGGAGGACTTCAACTGCTAGTTTAATAGCTTCACTCAAAGTCTATACCATTTTCTTAAATGCGGAAGTTGTACAGCTAGCTGCAAGTGGCCCCGGTTATCATGCGCACGATCCAGAAATGAGGGGTAGCCGACAAGAGGCCCATCGCGGGGCGAGTAGGTGGAGACGCAGACGTGTTAGCGGGGCTAGCTGCAGCGCGGCGTTATTTACAGGTTGCTATTTAGTTGGCAGGGAGCCTGCGACTCGCCGCTGATCCTTCTGGGTCTCTGCCTTTTCGCCGCGCGACTGGCCTCCTTTCCTGTTCCCGGTAGGATCAGATCTTGGGTCATCTAGGCCAATCAATTCTTCCATTCCTCCGGGGTTCAGTTATCCGGTAACAAACTTGTGACGGTGAGAGGAGAAAACCATGGTTGTACATCGGCAGGCCTCCGCGAGTTATTTGTGACCCAAATCCCATTCAAGATGCCTCTACGATTCATAATAGAAGTATAAGTGAATGCGCTGCAGATCCCAAAAAGGTTCGGACTGATCAACGCCAAATGCTTTATCCATTTTGTCATTTTCTCAGATCGGTCTAACGAGCCTACTTGTTCGTTGGACCTTTTGACAGCTTCTGTTATCCCTTTGTCCTACTCCGACCTATGCACTTATTTAAATTTTTCAGCCTTTTCATTCTTAAAATGGTTTAGGCTTGTGAGTGCGATGCGACAGGTTCAGATGGTGAGGCTTGTGACCTGCACTCGGGTCAGTGTGTTTGTAAGCCTGGAGTGACAGGTCTGAAATGCGATCACTGCCAGCCCAACCATTACGGTCTCGGTCCAGATGGATGCAAAGGTGCGTCACTGATTTTGAGGTTTTTCTTGACTGCTTTTCCAGTAGTACGAAGGAGTTTGGACGGGAAATGTGAGCTCAGAGGGAAATGGGTAAAGAAATTGGATTGAGTAGTTTATCGAACTTGTCCTTGTGAACTTGTCACGGCCTGAAAGGTCAACAACGGATGCCATCTTCATCGCCAGGCAGTGATGGAAGAAGTATAGAGAAAAGCGCCTGACTCTGCTACCTAGCCTTCCTTCGACCTGGGGAAGGTGTTCGATCGGCTACCGCAGGCAGTACTGACCCTCCTAATTCCATATGTATGTGGCTGAATTCCGGTCTGCAAATTCGGTGAATCGCGCAAGTCATTCCTAGGCGTATGAGATTGTACAAGCCTTTTCACACAGCATATTAGCTTGGCTGGTAGATTATCCATTCCGCCTAATCGGCCACCTCTAGTGCCTCCTGCACAAAAAAGTTGAAATGGAGCATGAAGGGAGCAGCTACCCATTTCCCTCAGAACAGGAGAATCTCTCTGTTTTTGGTATTCTGTAGCCGGGAAGTAAAAATGCATCTGAGGAAATGAAACCCAACTGACGGTAGCAGAAAAGCCTTACACCTCTTGCATGATACCCCAACATGGCTAATGATACTTGTGACTTTGAGAAGAATGGTCAGAAATCTCCGTCTTTATGTGAACCTCAGGAAAATGTCGTACTTAAAACTATGGATTATCTGTAAAACAGCGGAACAAATTAAAATTTGGCACATGATCCTGATATTCAGAGTGTAGAGCTTGCCCGGCACCAGGCCAGGTGTGTGACTCGGTCACCGGTGAATGTGTTTGTCCACCGAATACGGTAGGCGAGATGTGCGAGAACTGTACGGAAAACGCCTGGGACTATCATCCACTGAAGGGCTGTAAACTCTGTGAATGCTCTGACGTGGGCAGCAGCAACGGCAAATGCGACATGCGGACAGGACAGGTCAGTTAGGCCCTCTAGGGTTAAACAGCCTCAGAAGTAGCGCATAATTAGACGAGTCTCATTTTTCAGTGCAAATGTCGTAACGAATACGTCGGGTTGCGCTGTGACCTCTGCACGCACGGCTTTTTCGGTTTCCCGAATTGTCAGCCATGTAACTGCGAACCTAACGGCACGGATCCCCTTCAGTGCAAGGACGGTCTCTGCTTGTGCAACGAAGAGGGCGAATGTCCATGCAAGGTAGGTTTATCATTCAGCTTCCCATAGCCATCAGGTTAGTATTCTCATGTCTATTGTGTCGTAGGAAAAACGTGATGGCGTAGCAAAAGCGATCAGACTGCAAGGTACGAGCACATTCAGATGTGCGGAGGCCTCTGATTATCTCGCTCGGATGCATCCAATCTGCCTTGTCTGGCTTCAACACGTCAAGAGAGACTTGAAACCCTTGTGTTAAACGTATTATTAATGAGTGTCATCGTAGTATAAAATTACTCTTAAATTATGGCAATGGGCGGAGTTTATGCAGTGGGCGGGGTAGTTGGATGTGTGTGGAAAGAGATTAGATGGTGGACGAGATGTAGTGGTGAATGGTACAGTGGGGGGGAAGTGATACAGTAAATGAAAATTCAAAAATAATAACAAAAATGTGTGATTAAGGGGTTGTGGGCGGAGTTTGCGCGGTGGGTGGGTCAAAGGACGGCTAATATGGGGGGTCCGTGAGCCAAGGGGTGTGGTTACCCTAACCCTGGTGTATGTAGCACAGAAAGTAATTTTTCGGTACTTCAGGAGTACCACCTGCGAGCAAAGCTCTCTTCTATGGCAAGCAGACCTATGCTGAAGATCGACGAGCCGTTTTCGAAGAACCCTGGGAGTACTACACAAAGAAGCATAACCTGAACCTGCTGAAGGTGGGTTGTTGGTAATGTTGCTCCTTGAGTTATCAGTTCTAATCGTTCGCCATTCTCAGGAATATCCGGCACGATACAACAGTTATCCGACCGATGCCGTCCCGTTGTACTGGCCATTGCCGAAATCAATGCTTGGCGATAGGACTTCCAGCTATAACGGTTTCCTTCGATTCAAGGTATAAATTCTTGTGATTTCGTTCCCATGTCTTTCCCTAAAAACTCAATTCGTTACTTACGAATACTTTTGGGTTGACGATTCTGAGGTTACGGTATTTAAAAAGCTGTGCAAAAGCAATACCTCTTCAACCGCATCTACGTTGAGTATATCATGAAGGCAGAGTATATGGTAAAAAAGCAACCTCTAAAAATCTAGGTGAAGGTGGTTAATGATCAAGGGATGATTAAAAAACATGAGAAATAGCCCAGAACCCGAGAAAAAAGGCTCCTCAGTCCACGACCTCCGCACTGATTCGACAAGACGACTTTTCCTAATTTGTGCCCGGCAATCCCTAGCGCCTTCTATCGTTCCATCTTTGTTTTTGTTCAAACTATCCAACCAATATCATTCAATAAAGTAAA